ACTGATGCATTTAAATTAATATGCATTCCCAACACAGTCAAGACCCAGGGCAATTAAGTTCATTACTTATTAGATAGATAGATCTTTTCCTCCATGAAATAGAAGAAATAAAGAAAATTTATTTTATGTAAATTCTAGTCCAGATGTTTTGATTTAAAGGGTTGCAGAAAAGGATGGATTTGGAATGGTTCCTTTGCCCATGTTGAAACTGGAAACCAAAAGTGATGGTTTTGACTTATCACTGGTAGACATGGTTATAGATATTCCTGCGGGATACAAAAGAGGCACAGTGGCTCTGTTGATGTTTGCCACATTTCATGTAACACTATCCAGGAAAAAGAGCACTTGGTAACCATTGTTGCACCTTTAAATTGTTGATAGCATTGCAAATTCATCTTGATCTGGAAAATGCAAAGAGTGGGCACAGAGTATTCCTTCTAGGGGTGATATTCAGTATATTGCAACATCATGCCTCATAGTCCGGGAGGAACTGAAGCTCTTTGGGACAGCAGAAGCTCTTTGGTTCCCGGGGAAGTAAGTGTGGACATTCTTTTGAGAAAATGAGCTTCCATATGAAAGCTAGAGACCTAAAATTCAGTCACTTTCCTGTCCCCAAAGGCACACAAGGACAAGACAATGCATGAAATAAAAGAGAAAAGTTGTTGAAATTAAGATATCAGGACTTTATGCAAAGGGCAGATTTGCAGGTAAAGGATGATCTGAAGAATGCAGTGATAGAAACTGCCTGAAGCATCTGGGAAAATACAAGAACTATGAAGATTAAAGAGGAAAAGATGAGAAAAGGGAACCCAGAGGTCAAATTCATATGAGTTGGGAGTGTGGAGAAGGTGAGCACAATTCTGTGGGTGAATTCCTGGTAGAGATGCAGTAAATATATTAAAAAAATCAATATATTGGTACTATGACTGGGTAAGAGAGTTTTTGTTTGAAGTGTTTGAAAATTGAGGTCACAGTATTTAGACTTAGACTGTAAGGGGTAGCACAGTTGGAAGCAGGATGGATGAGATGGTTTAACAGGGCTTCACTGTAGTCACATTAATTCTGTTTAAATAATTAATTCTCTTTTAAATTGACTCTATTCGGCACACTTGACATTTTGGAAAAGCTGCCATTGCCTGGCCTTCTGCTAAATGCTTTTGCATTTGTTTTCCATTGTTTCCTTCTTGAAAAAAAAAGTCCTTGTCACTAACAGGAACTATCAGCAGCATGGAACAAATTGACTTGCCAAGGACATTTCCTCCCATCTCATTATTTGTACTGGAAGTACTCTTTTTTTTTTTTTGTATCAAGAGTCAGAGTGTGATTTTTAAAAATTGCCATTTATTAAGGTAGTGTATTATGAATCAAATTCAAACTTGATTATGTAAATTACTTTCTGTGCATCAACATTTGGTCATACATTTTCCAAGGTGGTGATCAAGCAGTTTAATTAATAGTGAATTCATAGTCCTCTCTGCCTACCTCATTATGTAGAGCCCCTGACTATTGCAGCAGAGGATCTCCCCCAGGTATGAATCAGAGCAGATACATCACCCTCCCTCTTCTGCTCTTAGAACATTGATTTTGAGCCTCAAGTGGCTGAGATTGAGCGGATCCATAATGTTATTTGGCACAAATTGGGTTAAACAAAAAGGTTGTGTATTTTACTCGCAAGGTGATTTGGTTTGTGTTTTCTCTCCCATCCTTTCTCAGCTCTTGGTTGTGACTCAGCTGCTAAGGAAGTGTTCATCTGCTCTAAACTCCCCCATGGAAGTGGCAGTGCTGGGTGGCAAAGGAACACAAACATAATTTTGTGGGGGTCTGTTGGGGTTGGGGCTCCTTCAGGTAACCTGGAGCCAACCCTCTGAGAGCTCAGCAAAGGGCAGAGCCTGGGCTGACCTACATTCACAGTGACTCACCATGAGATTGAATGTTGTTCCTCTGTTTTGCTGGTTTCTCAGCACTTGCTGAGCTTTAAACAAGGACACTCTTACCTAACCCAATCGATGGATGAGCAGTTAGGACTCAATCTAATGCAGCCAGTATTTGTAATAATAGAAGGGCACATTCCAAAGCTGTTACAGAAGAAAAGAATTTCAGATAATTAGGAGAGGAGTTGGGCAGTGATACAGATTTTAAAAGTACCCAAGATAAAATAACAGATACTAAAAATATCTGTATTGAGATGAAATCCTCGTGACTCAGTACTTGAGCCAACTTCCATTCTCTAGGAATTAGCAAAGGAATCATCCAAACAGGGTAGGTCGTGCTGTGTTGCCTTACTCTGGGCTGACACACTTCAAAGATGTATCTCACATTGAAAAAGGTCAGACTCAGGTCTGACTTTCCAGGGCAATTGCCAGTTTTTAAAAATACGTTCTGTAGCTGTAGCTTTTTAAAAAAATGTTGAGTTTATTTCTATCGAGAAAAAAATTGAATAGAGAGCACTCTGGACCTTGAAAGGCAAAAGCACTGAGAGCAGGACCAGAGATGCATTCTTTGTGACAAATTTTTGTCATTATTATAATTTTTAATACCCGTGACTTTCTAGCTAATAACTGAGGAGTGATCAATCCAGCTTGCAAATAGAAACACGAGACTGCCATTTCTTCTCTTTTTTTCTGCATGAAGTGTTCTCTAACTAGATGCATACCTTTGAAAATATTGAAGATACTGTAAGCATTAAAAGTATTTTGGAAGAAATGAGTATTTTGAAAGATATTTTGAGCATTGTAGAATCTCAGACAAGCAGAAATCCATGTTAGGAGAGTTTCAGCTACAATCTGGGTCAGATTTTCAGTGCAGATGTGTCAGATGCAGTTCCTTGGAAACTCTCCATGGCAGTTAGTGAGAAGAGTGACCCAATGTTTTCTCACCGTACAAAATCACTTTTCTGTTTGATGATGTCATGTGCATGAAGCACTGCTTGGATTCCCACAGCAGAGTCCTGTTTCAGCTTGTTTGGGAGAAGAGATTTCGTCTCAGAACAGTTTCAAACAGGGAGTTCAGCAAATCTCTTTGGTACACCTTGACTGATCTCAATCAGTTTTCAGAATTTTAATGATCTGGGTTTATTTCCAGATAATGACTATTTATGTAAATTAGATGCCTTATAAATAAATATGGAAGTTATTCCAAAATATTAATTACAGGCTTTATGGTTCAAACTCTTATTATACTAAAGGCAAATGGTGATGGGAATTGTCTTTGAGCTTATTAATTTAGTTACTTTGTTAGTTTCATTTTAACTTGGCTTACATATGTTGGGCAGTATTTCCTGAACTAAAACAAGGTGTACTGCGTACCTGGATATATCAATGGATTTTGAAGAATAATAAAAATCAAAATGCATCATACAGTGGTAGTAGCAAATGGAAACCAGACTTCAGAATATTTTTGTCTAAAAATCAAATAAATGAGTTTTACTTGGAAAATCTCAGCTTAAGTGTTATTAGCCGTTTACTCAAAAATTAGTTTTAAATTAATTATAATCCTTTGCACTTCTATAGCTGTTTCTCTTGAGAATCTCAATAGTGTTCTACAAACATTAATTAAGCCTAATAGTACTCCTGAGAAGTGGTTAAGTGATAGATATACTTCACCCACCTTGATATAAGCAATCTCTAGAACAAAATATAAAAACTTTAAACAGCAGGACTACACAAGAGTTTAGAGCCTGAAGTATCCCATCAGGCAAAACTGTGGGGAAGATTTAGCTACATGGAAGGCAATTGCTTGGCCTGGACACGATTTGAAGGTGAATATAAAATGGAAATAATAAAGAACTCTTCACTAGAGATCTCTAGTGAAGGAAAGTGTTTTTCTGTGGCCCCATAGTATCATGTGTGACTCTGGTGATGAACTGAATACTGATTCAGAGGAAAACTGCTATTTGCAGAAATCACCCCCAGATGGGCCAAAGAGCAGGCATCCACATGGAACCTTTAAGGCTGATGCACGAACAGCAGGGATAGCAGTTAAGTCCTCTCACCCCTGAGGGAACAGGAGCTGCTGAAAATAGCAACAAACCAGCAGTATCAGTGTGTACATTTACAGCCCCAGACTGTTATTTTTGCTGGCGAATCTGCATGCACAATTTCCTTCCTGATATTAGTCCACAAAGAGCTGCTTTTGTTATCTGGCATTACTGATGACAGCAATACTTAAACCAGGTTAGTGCTGGCACAGACAGCAAGCTGGCTTTGATAGATGCATTAGGATTTGGACCGTCCTCAAGCAACCCTTCTGCTGTCCTGTGCTCACAAAATGGGCTGCAAATATTTGTCTGGGAGCTTCCAGCGTCCAGAAATGTGCTCCAGTGTACACACTGATTGCCTGCTAACAACAGGACAAGAGGTACGGATGGCATCACTTGACACCCCAACCCACAGCAACACAGCCAGGCACAACTTCACTGTTTTATCCCTGACTACCACCAAAGGCCATCCCCTGCCTCTCCTACCGTTCCAAAGCTGATAGCTGCTGCCACGCTGCTGTGCCTTGTGAATAATTTTAGCAGTTGCCGAGGGAAACTTTACGACGCGCAGCCTAAGTCCTCAGATGCACACTATGAAATCTTGAGGAAGCAAATCGGTGCTGGAAAGGGAAATGATAATGAGTTTGCATCAGATTTTTATTTATAGAAATGATTTGGAAGCAGCTGGATCTCCTCCTTGGGTACATTTTCTTTCCTTTTTGTTTCCCAGTATTTCTGTGCTTTTGGGACCACAAACTCTCCCATAAATTACAATACATTTGCTGAGAAACTCTCTCTACCTGCTGGAGAAAAAAAAAATCTCATTTTATCCAAGTGGAATGCCTAGATACTGCAACTGGATAATTAGACTTTATCCTTACACATTTGCAGTAACTTTCTTTATTTGCATTTGTGAATTGTAATTCATGACACACAAGACTCCAGTGCTTCTGCTTAGTTCAGTGGCCTTTGGATCAGGGCTTGTATTTGCTTCATTTCCCCATATTTTTAGCTGCTTCAGTAATTACCTAGAGAAAGGTCTGAAAAATAGATATATTTTTAATATGCATATATGATATTCTATTTCCTGTTTTATAATGTATAGTCAGTAGTTTCTCTGGAGTGCAAAAAGCTTTTCAGAGATACTTTACTTGAATCGGTAAAAGGAAGAGTGACTGCACTGTTGCACTGCTGCACCATAATATTTAAATGCTTTATTATTTCATAATCTGTCCTAGTATTTAATCATTCCAAGCTGGAACGATCTCTTTATGTCAAAAGGGATAAGTCCCAGATTTACAAATATGCATGTATGAAAAAACCCATGAAGATGTTGCTTCATTTCCAGTGTGATTCCAGCTTGCCAAAGGCTCCATTTCATTGCATAACCCTCCGGATGCAGATCCATTACTGCACTCTAAAGTGGGTTACTGGACAGGGTAAGGTAATTCATCTTCTGAAATGCAGAGTCTTGTTTTGCCAGTTATGGAGTTTATAATTATCCATTATCATTATCTCCATAGTTATTTTTACCAAGGTTACAGATAGGTCTATTTGAAAGGTATCCTGTTGGGTTCTCTTGGAGGTTCATCCTTCCCCCTGTAGAGGTAAATGAGCAGTGCACACAGCACAGCCAAGTGAGTTCAAAAGGCATAAAACTGGTGAGAAAGCGAACAGATTAAGTCCCAAATTGCACACTTAAGAAACTGAACTAAAATTGTCTTGCTTATGGAAGCCAGTCTCTGCCAGGAAAAACTGGGAATAGTGATAGTTGCATTTAGTTTTTTTTAAGCACTTCTGAATAATAAACCCATGAATAATAAATCATCAAACCCAGAATCCTGGGACAAAGTCTCTTAAAATCATGTCCTGGGACAGCAGAGTTCTCCATTCTATTCCTGGCTCTGTCACTGACCATCTGCCACTTGTCCTCTGCCTTGCTTGAGTTTACCCATGTGTAAAATGCATTTAAAATAATCTAAACCAGGCTTTGAAAATTACTTCAGTGCCACAAGCTAGAAATTTGGGGTTGTAACATGGGAAAAAAATCGTCCTGTGGTTGCTGGTCCATAGAAAGCCTGCGTGTCTCTCTGGCTGCACTACAGGGGAGGCTAAATCTGGCTGCCAGGGCTCCACCCTGCACTTGAGAGGCAGCAGAATCCCACATGAAGCGTGCTTGGTGCCTGCCCACCTGCACTACATGCTGTTGTTAACTTGGGTAATTAGCTTACTATGCACAAGAATCTGATACAACACTGACTGGAATAATTAAGTAGACTTCAGAGACTTAATGATCTTGGGCTTGGGTCTTCATGTGCAAGTAGAGATCCTTGCTTAGAGATCCCAAAAATCCAAGGGAAGGGAAAGGCTTTGTCTGACTGACACATAGACACATCTCTGTGCAATGAGCCTGGCCGGAGCTGGGCACACAGTAAATCTGTCTCTGCCTGTACAGTAGCACTATTCACTGATGCTGCTCTTTATTCACAAATAAATACAGAACTACACTCACAATTTTTCATAGGCCCTTTTGCACATGGCTTTAGAAGAGCCTTAAAGTGGAAAATTGATTATGAGCTGTGCAGGAAAGCTTTGCAGTGAGATTTGTTTGGAAAGGTGACTTGATAAAAATGGTGACAAGCTAATAATGAAATGGAACATTGCAATTAAATGTGCTGGTGGGGAAGAAAGTGTGCCACAGCCAAGAGCATGAGCAGCAGGTAGGTCAGGGAGAGAATGCAGCAGAGGTTTGATGGAACAGGGTGGGAAGAAGGGGGAGATGTAAGAACAAGAAAGACAGGACAGAGATAAGCACTGTTAGCTGTGATAGCAGTATGGGGCAGAAACTACTTTGGTGTTTGTATCAGGCCTTGAAGAGAGAGAATCCCGTCCCTGACCACAATCTGTTGACATTGACACAATGTGTAATTAAATGCAGATAGTCCTAGAAGGACAGAAATGGGGGAGAGAAAGGAATTAACAGCAAAACAAAGTCATCTACACAATGCTTTACTTATATAAGAGCTGAAAAGTATGAAAGCTGACAGAGAATATTTAAGAATTCTGTTTCTCTAAAATGAGTTTCCATTAGAAATAGTCCAGAATATTTTAATGGTTATGAACTTAAACCCTGCAAAGTGAGCTATACATACATCAGTGCAGGGATTTTGCTCAGTGTACAGGCAGCTGTAACAATACTCTTAGAAGTAGGAACAGACCCATTAATCTTGGATGTTAACGCTGAAGCCTAAAGTTTAAGCCTACCTGAAAAATGAGCAAGGGCAGCAAGCACAGAACAGTTTGAATATCAAAAATTACTAACACTAGCCAGAAGATGGAGTTCAGTATTGCTATTTATTTGAAAAGCATTTCCAAGATTAAAATATATTTGAAATTGATTTAGAAAGGTCTCTACCAGCACACCAAATAATTTAAGGACACACTACTGAGCGCAGAGCATCTTGCTGTATTGAATAGTGACATTCTAGGTTCTTGGTCTCTCACTTACCCCACTGTGTACTGTCGGGAGAGACAAGTTCCTTATGGGTGTGGCTAGAAATGCATTTCACGTAGAAACACAGGGAATGGGAATGTTCTTGTAGTCCCTGACACACTCCTTACTCGGTTTGCTGCCTGCTGAGAAAAAAAACAAGACAGACTTAGCTCCCAAGTATCAACCCTGGCAGCGCAGAGCTGCGCCTGCATGTGCAGGCTTGCACATGGGTGCTCCTGCCCAGGTAGACACCGACTCATGTCAGCCACCACATTTTCTACATGGGGGGTACGAAGAGCAGCATTTCTGCTATAAACAACTTAATTAATAAAAACACGTGCAGAAACACACTGTTATTTTATACTTTCTGGCTTTTATATTCTCCTATTTGGTCAGATTTTCAGAGGGATGAGGTAAACCAAGAGAGTAGATCCGAACATATCTGAGTGTTTTGAGTTCAGTTTTGATAAATTCACAATATTTACAAATTCAGAACTTCATATGAATTGTATGTCTTTTATAATGAGTCATATCTACACCCTTAAGCGAAACATCCAGAACTGAGGTAAGACTGAATTAAAACTCAAAATTGTATGGTTGGAACCTATCCGTAATCAGCACTTTGGTATAAAATTTGGAAACTCAGGGTTGCAGTGGACAAGGTGCCAGAAAAGTAGTATTTCTTTCTGTGTGGGTACAGGCAGGACTCGTTCTGTTGCGCTCAGCAACATCTTGACACGCTGCACTAATCTTAGCTGCATGCTCTTAAAAGATTATTTTTGTCTCGGGTTCTTTTTCTAGTCTTTGATGCAACAGCCTGCTGCGGGTTACATCAAGCCTGCAGAAAATCCCTCGGTTTCTCATCCCTTGTTTTCCAGACAGCCGGCACCTCCTCCGGGTCCAGGCGACGGGCGCCGCAGGTGAGCCAAATCCCGGCCTATCTGGGCCGGAGATTAATTTCTGTTTAAATTAAAGATGTTGTCTGGGTGAAAAGGCTGAGGTGGGGGAGGCAGAGTCGAGCCCGCGGTCTGCGCGCTGTGCTCCGGGCGCTTTCGCTTAGGGAGCCTCGCTCCCCCCTCAGGGCTCGGAGCCGCGCTCCGTGAGGGGCAAGGCGGGAACGGCGGGCCCGCGGTGCGAGGGGAGGGCTCAGAACGGACCCGGCGGGCGGCGGGGCCCGGCCGCCTCCCCCTCAGCAGCCGCGGAGCCGTCCCGCGCCCGCCCCGCCGCGATCACGGGTCGCCGCCCGCCTCCCCCGCCCCGTGACAGCCAAGATGGCGGCGGAGGGGAGGGGGGATCCCGCCTGAGCCGCCCACACGGCGGGAGGCGGCGGGGGCGAGCCGGGCTCCGCTGGGATGAGATAAGGGCGCGGGCACCGAGCGCGCTGCCCCCCGAACCCCTTCACCGCCCGCTCCTCGCCCCGGGGGGCGCGGCACCCGCCTGAGGTGAGGGTGGCGGCGCTGTCACCGCCGCGGGGCGCGGGCCGGGGGGGGGTTCTCCGAGGCGCTGCCGCGGGTCGGGCGCTGCCGCGTTCCGGGGCCGGCGGGGAAGGGGCGCGGGGCTGTCAGCGGGGGCGGGGAGGCCGGCGCTGGCGGGCCGGGGGCTGAGGCGCCGCGGGGGCGGCGGTAACTTTCCGCTGGGCCGCGGTGGCAGGGGGAAAACTTTCTCCTTGCGCCCGTCGGCTCGAGGCTCCCGCCGGGCCCGCGGGGCTCCCCGGGCGGCGGGGCCGGCCGAGCCCTCACCGCCGACCTGCCACCATGTTGTACGGGCTGCGCGGCGGCGG